ACCTCAACGACAGATTCCTTTGCACCAGATCATTGTTTAATGCCAAAAATGAAGGTTCAAATTGGTCGTCGCACAATTGATGAACGGATAATACAATGTACAGTTTAGTGCATTATGTGGACTACAAGGTGAGCAGAAATAATCTCATTGGAATCATTGTGACTACAGCAAACGTAGTATTTGGAAGAATTTGATAATCCTCGGAGAAGGACAGTGACACCTATGGTTCTGATGTACTGAAGCAAAGACATACATGCAACAATTTGACTTACGTATTTCCCAGTCTATGATGCATGTACAACATTGAAACCGATCGTATAATATAATCAATCCAAATAGCTGAAAAATGCCTTCTCAGCTGAAAAATGCACCTCCTACGTAACCTCCTGGATTTTTGTCAGGAATGGATGCTTTTATGCCTTCTTGTTGGTTTCAAGTCAAGCCTCAATCTACTTCATGGTTTTTACCCTCTTATGCAGCTGGTGTATCTAATCGTAATAATTTTTTTCATCTTTTTCAAAAAGAGAACAGTGTCATTACCAGGTACGCAGAAAAGGCTAGGTCAATGTGGATCAGCTCGAGTAGAGTCGTATTGTTTCAGACTTAAATGGTTAGCAGCTCTAGCTGACATTACGATAGATGATACTCAATTCCATAGACTTCATTATGACTGATCAAACTGGAGACAACGTGACGTTACTAGAAAGCTTAGATATGGGCAGTCAGAAAATCATTAAATGTTCTGAACATGCAATTTTGGATGTGAACCATGCTGCTAATAAAGTATTCAGATATGCGGAACAAAAAATTGGTGTTCATAAGTTTTGCGAATATTTCCAAACAACTCACAAAACAGAGAGAGTTAATTATGCAGTTTTTTAGCAATGCAGTTGACATAAATTACAATAAGATAGTGTTGGCAGTATATGTGTACATTCAAAATGTTTGTTTATTTTGTGTGCTGAAATCTATGCTGAGTGCGATGTCATGATGTTTCTAATAATGAATCTTCTGGGGATGGATGACCGTAAAATTTCTATGGATGATTTTGTTTAATTTTGGAATGGTGTGTAAACATTTTTTAAAACCAAAAGTTTTGAACTCGGAAACCTGAAAGCCAAGAAAACTCACTCAACCGCTGCGTTGTGTGTTGATCTTTTCAATAAAGTGATTATTGAAAAGATCAATTACCGAAAAGCTGAATAAATACTCAAAATATATTCGGTTCGTGATGAATATAACAGAACAAAGTGTGACTTATTCATTTCGCCTCTGAATTACTGCTACTTGAGTTACAGATCAATCTCTTAACTTTTCGGAACGTCTTTCGGAACGAATAAAATGTAAATTGTAGCATTTTATTCGTATATATAATTTAATACTTCAATTTTACATTGAAACTCAAATTCCTTGACCCAGAAAACCATAGAAAGGACATATCACAAGGTCTAATCTGGATCAAGATAAAGGGGCCTAAGAAAAAATTGTCATTATAGCGGCCATTTTAAAAAATAGCCGCTATTTTAACATCAAATGATATAGTGCTTGGTGGATTTGTGTTAAGCATGGAATTTAGCCGCAGAAACTACTCGTTTAGTAGACGAACTTGAAAAAAGTTCTCATACACCCTCCTTTACCAATATTCACAATCTGTGAAAATATCAAAATTTAATACGAGGGTAGGTTGATCTCAACAAAAAATGCGCAACTCTTTAAAACTTTTTCACATCTTGAAATTAAAATATTTCAAGTAAAGTTATTAGCAACGTTATATTTAGAATATTTAATTGAGTAACATTTAGTTTGTTACATTATTATTATTGGTTGTAAAAAAGTATATTTATAAATGCCATTAACAGAGAAAGGCAAACATGTCTTATGACTACTTCTTGCTTTGACCATTAAAAAGTACACAGTACATTTAAGTAAACGTATATATATATATATGTATATATATATATATATATATATATATATATATATATATATATATATATATATATATATATATATATATATATATATATATATATATATATATATATATATATATATATATATATATATATATATATATATATATATATATATATATATATATATATATATATATAAGGGTATCCTAAAGTGACTTTTTTTTTCTTTTTGAACTATGCTTAGATTTATAATCGGTTTCGCATGTTTTTTGTCTATTTAAACCAAAAAAAAACAACTGAACATTTTTATTTTTTAACCCTCTTCCCCCGCCGCCCGTTTTTTGCTTTTTTTCCTAAAACTTTGACAAAAAGGACTAAAAACATTTTTGATAATCAACTATGTCCACATCAACTATGTCCACATTTTTACTAATTTTCTTGTTTAGTTTAGCTTAATATAACCTAATGACGTGTTATTTTAAAAAAATAACATTAGGTTTTGTTAAATTACCTTACAACCCCCTTTTAAGTGTTTTGCCTAAAATAATCCCAAATAAACTTCTTATATATATTTATAGATATATTTAACTAAGTTCATATTTTTAAATAGTTTTATGTATAGTTGTTTATACTAAAACTAAATCAAAATTTATTCAAAAGAAATTCACCCACCAAAAAAATTTACCCCCTCTGCTCCTCATGATACCCTCTCTCACTCCCCCCCCCCCCCCTCCTCTCCTCCTATCATGATATTTTTCTGCCTGAAGTAATAAGTTTTTAGAACTATACTTTTTGATTAAAACAATAAAGATTTACTTGATAAATAACTTAAAAATTGATCATTAAAATTAATTATTATGACAAACATACAAATAAATGATTTATATAAATTTAAAATATTAACATTTTCCTAGTTTTCTCATATATTTCTAATAATTATTTCAGCAATTTTAGCTTTATCAAGATCAGACACTTGATCAGAAAATAAAGGAGACGCTTCTTCGGTTAAATACCAAAGATGTCAACTAAATGTTCCAAGGGTAGCAACAGCAACATCTTTTTCATTTTTTTTATAAAGAAGAATTTCTATGTAGAATTCCAAGTCATTAAGTTGTGTTTGTACACGTACACGTTTGAATAAATTGTGTTTGTACACGTAAGCCACATTTTCACATAAAATAACATTGTAAATTTACAAAACCGTGATAGTTTCTTTATACAACTTGCTTTATACTTTGCCAATTCAGCAAAAGTAAAAATTTTTGATGTATAAAAAATTGTACACATCCATCTAGCATTATGGAAAGCCCCAGGTTTGCACCACTGTACATTTATTTGTTTTGCATTCAGTAATTGTAAAGCAAGTAGTCAACATTCTTAAAAATTATCTCTTAATATTTTTTGAGGCTTATGTTTCAGTAAACAAAATAAATTTTACTTGTTTGATTTTTAATATTATTTCTTCAATTTGAATTTTTTGATGTATGGCCTAAATTTATAAAAGTTTAGGCCATACATCATTTTTAAAGTATGGCTCATAATTAGGAGATTGAGATTCTCCAAAAATCGTTGAATAAACAGATGACAAAACTGTTTTTAAGATGTGGGGTCTGCAGGCACACCAGAGTAACTTTTTATTGAAGTTTTCTTCAATTAACTTTGCAGAACCATTTATTCAACCTAAGTTGCTTCAAAAATCATTGCTGCATCTTTTTTTATATTTTCTTTTCTTGATTTCTCTTTTTCAATAGCTTTTATTTTCTGTGATTCTTTTTGCTCCTTTATTTTTACTTTCATAGTTTTACATTTATAACTCTTATAAACTCAAAAATTATTTATCTTATTTATCTTATTTATATTATCTTAATTGAAGCTGATCTGAGAGAAAATCTAAATCTGATATTTAACTATTAATGTCATAAGAGGTATCTTTATATCTTATTATCTCAGTAAGAGGACATTCTTTTCTAATCAAATCTTCTGCATTTGATGCTAAAATGTCAAACAGAGATGACAACTTATTATTAAAACTTATTAGAAGTTGTAAACTTATAAGTAAAACTCATAAGACCGTACAGCATTTTTTTTTACATTTTTAATCAAGTCTAAGATGTATCATATGCAGTATCATTCTAACAGTATTTTCTTTTCTTGTTTATTTGAATGCCTGCTATTTCCAAAATACATTTACTTTTTCGCAACCTCTAGGTGCAACTTCTTTTATACCAGTTAGTTTCAAATCAAACCTTGTAAAATATAGATAATGCCATAAAACCTCTCTATTATTTGGTAATTGACTAAATATCTTTGCTTTAAGGGTAGGTAATAATTTCCTAACAATTTTATCAAACATATCATTATTTTTTCTCAATTTTAGTAAATGCTATTATACCTATAGATGTAAAAAAATATTTACAAATTATATGAATATAAAATTATTTAATTATATAAATATACAAATTATACAAAAATAAAAAAACTGCATTCATGGTAAAAATTTTCTTTATCTCAAACTTTGCATTTAATTTTTATAATTTAATAATTCTTGATAATAATGGAATAAAAAACTAATTTATAAATTTTTTACTTATATTTACTAATATCATCCGATACATAGTTTCAAAATATTATGGCATCAAAGTAGATACAAAACATGTTTAATTGAAACATTACATTTTTATATTCACTGTCTGATGTTGAAAGTGTGCGGCATAGGGGGTAAAACTTTCAAAAGAGAGGCGGGGGAGGGTCAAACTTAACATTTTTTCAAAAACCTTATTTTTGTTTTTAATAGACAAAATAACACACAAAACTGGCTGAAAAACTGGCTTTTTTTTTAACACATATATATATATTTTTTTTTTAGAACCTATATATATATATATATATATATATATATATATATATATATATATATATATATATATATATATATATATATATATATATATATATATATATATATATATATATATATATATATATATATATATATATAAATAAATAAATCATCTTATGCTTTAGAACTGTATATATCTACTTTAGAAATTCATTATATGAAACTAAAACTGTAACTTTAAAAACCTTTTGTTTATAAGTATCCGCCGATCTTGTTTTCCATGTGTCGAAATATATAACCTACAATTTTCAGAATCCGAACAATATAGCGTGAACTTGTAGATTCCGGTGACCGGGGGAATAAAATAGGCAAATATATGACCATTACTTCCAGAGGTAATCGAGTCTTTAAAGTCAAACAAGCACGTAGCGTTTTGCAAAACTTTTTGATAAAACGAGTCTTTCATCATTGATTCTATATCAACTTTATTTCTTATGAATTCTTTGTTATACTTCAGCGAAACAACTTTTTGTTCTAAAAAATTAACAAAGTTTTAAGTATTTAACTTTTAGTTGTAAATTATACTAAACTAACTTCTGAAGACCTCGGTCCAAAGATCTTTTTCAGGAGAACGAAAATCAGATTAACTTTAAAAGTAGTAAAAAGTAACTTTCAAATCATCAGTTAAATGGCATGAGGAGAGCTTAAATCTAATTTATTTTTATATTAACTGTTACAACATCTTCTTTTTTTTTTTTTTTTCTTTTTAAGCTAATTAAGGTGCCCCAAGTAGTCCTTACGGTCTCATCACAGAGCACCGCGGAAGAGCATTTATAAGGAAGTTCACGCCTCCTTCCTAACCGATGTCGCAAAACTTGCCCAGAGGTGGGGTTTGACCACGGATCTTACTAATTATCTTCTAATTAGTAATATTTCGTCTAGATCTAAAAATCGCTCAAAAGTGGAGTTACATTGTTTTAGCACTGTGGTCTTTAAATATACGGGTTAATGAGGGATGGGTAAAGACATCGAGAAGGAATGCTTAGGCACAATATTTCGCGACGTTAGAATTATCTTGTTCTATCTCCACATTTTTTAGTTTTGAGACAAAACGATTTAAAAAACAAAAACTTTAGGAGACGGCGTATAATTTTTTTTTTAATAACATGTTTTTTCCGCAACTTTTTTACTTGTAACTTAGAATTCAATTCAGTAGAAAGACATTATTTTGAGGAACAAAACACTATCATTAACTCAATTTTTTCAGAAAGTGGAGATAAAACAAGATAATTTTAACGTCGCGATTTAACAAAAAATGCAAATAAAATGCACAGTAAAATTTTTATAAGCATATTGAACCTAAAATATTACTTGTATTTTATGTAAAGCCATACCATTCAAAGCAATATGAAAATATGGCATTTAAACTTGGGTCATGAAATTTCACATTTCTAAAAGCATTAAAAAAAATGCGGAAAAAATGAGATGAAAAAACCTAAAGGGTTTAGGCAAACTTCAACATTCTGTTATCATATACCAATATCTTAATATATTTATATAAAAAAATTCTCAATCCCGTATGATATGTATACTTTAAACTCACGTATATGTATGTGTTGGAATTATAGTTTTTTATTTTTATTAATTTATTTATTTTACTACGGGGCTTAGTGATAAGACAACTATAGCCTTCTTTTTGCCCCGGTCATGTAAAATCTTTTATTCATGTACTTTCGAATTGTAAAGATTCATTTAAAAAAAGTATGTATATTATATACTTTTTACCAACATTTTACGGCATATGAAAAAAAGACATCTGTTAGAGGTCAATTTTTTTAATCTAAAATGTTAAATGTCACTAAAAGTTTTGAGCATATGATAAAATTCTTACATTAGATTAAAAAATATTTAAAAATCCTTAATTCTTTAAAAATCTTTTAGGCCAAAGCTGTATATGCTATATGGCCAGATAAGCCAAACATAGCAAACTATCAATGATTTTTTTTTTTTTTTACCAAAAAAAAATTAATAAAATGCAGTATCATATTTTTGTAAGTATGGTTAAAAGAAATACTTGACCTTTTTTGTGGATAAAAAAATCAATACACATGAATAATTTTTTATATTTGGTTTATTTGGCTATATACAGCTATGGCCAAAAAAATTCAACCAATTACTTAGAGGTGCAATTACATTTGCGAAAACGCACTAATTATCATGTGTAGGGGAGACCGGAGATAGTTGCCTTTGTTTTTATTCTTTGAGCTCTGTAGCTTTAACGGCAAAATTTTTTTGTAAATATTAAAGCGCAATATTGAAAAAACATTTTTTCAATACTGAAAAAATAAATTTTTTTAATGTTGTTAAAAATTAAAAAATAATAATAAAGTAATTATATAAAAATATATATACTTTTCCATAGCAAATGCTATGAGCCAATTACTCTATGAAAATTTTGCCAACTTACCTCAAAAGTCTTTTTTTTAATAAACAGTCTTTAGATCCTGAAAAACGGCAGCTATTAAAAAAGTCTCACTGGAAAAAATAAGACTGGAAATAGTAAATTGATTGTGACTGAAATTTTTTTTTTTTTTTTATACGACCTATTTACTTTTTTTTTGTAAAGTAAAAAGGAAGCGATGTTCCAAAAGATACGTTTTTGTCCAAAAAACACATGAATCCTAATATCTCAAATGCGCATGCGCGAACCCTTACAATGCTTTAGTGAATGGTAAAATGATCAATTAGGAAGGTTCTGTGTAATTTTTTTCACTTTTTAATGAAAGACTCTGAAGATAAACCCCCTGTCTCCCTACTTCAATTATTTTTGTGCAAATGTTAATTGAAGATGAAAATCTAAAAATAAATCTAAAATTTTAAATCTAAAAATTATTTATGACAGCTTCAAGTTTTGCAAAGAGCATTAAATTTGACTGTTGAAATGTTGCGACGTTATATATTTGACGTTTTATAAGTTTGCAGCGCGTAGCGTTATGATTGCCGACACGCTTCATTCCTAGGTATATATCTTTTAAAATTCTTATTAACAATGCATAACAATGTCCTTCTGTGTAACAATATCCACCACTTATAAGTTAGGGTGTAATCACTGGAATAGTCCTGTTAGTTTACATCTTTTATTAGAAAGCGAGACTGTTTCAAAGTGTTCTAAAGAATTATTTGTTCTGTTGGTTTCAAATTTAAAACAGCAATGTTTTCATATGCAACAAGGAAACTTGCTATCAGACAAAAATTATCAAGACTTGGCTGCAAAAAATTTGATTAATATTTCTTTCTTTCTTTATAAACAATTCCCTATTTAAACCCCATCAAACTTTTGCTTTTAAACAGAACCCAACCGTAAGAGACAACGTTTCATTATTGTCTTTTATTGCCTCAATGCCGCAAATACAATGTTCATGTATGTTTTTTTATAAATCAAAATGTTTTTCAGGATTAATTCATACACTATATAACACAAAAACGGTTTTTCGCATTAAATATTGGGTTACCTTTTTGACCACGACTGTGTGCTTATTTATATCTTTTATCCAACTGGCTATAAATAATTTTCTACATATAAAGCGATTGTAAAAAGATAAATTTTAAATGTAACTTTTAACAAAATTTGTTCTAGATGAGGCTTGAAAAAGTAGGTTTTTTAATCTCAAAATAAAACTTAAAATATAAAACTATATATATGTACATTTGTTTAATATAATATACTTTTCGTAATAGTTATATTCATTATATAGACATTAGTAATATAGTTTTAAGAAATATTTTAGTGTATAACAGGTTTTAAACGGGTTTTGACAGGTTTTAAATGGGTTTTAAACAAATTATTGTGTCATTCCAATTTGTTTGTTGTGTTTTAAAAATGATTTAAATTTAATTAAAATATATTGGTTAATATTTTTTTAATTTTAAACAAAAATGAGTAACCTTTTTCGCAGAAAGTACCTCCAAACTTTTTTGAACTACATTTACATGAACTGGTGTCATTAGCATAGTTTGGTAAGCATGTTGCATTGTTCTTGCAGAGAGCTTTCTCACAACCTAAGTGCTAAAAAAAAAATTTATTACACGCTAAGTTTCTTAAAGAAACATTAAATTCTAAAAAGATATTGAGTGCTAATTAAGTCTTCATAAATCTAGAAATATATCTATAAAAATACATCAGTTGAAAAGTTGCAAAAAAAGATTATAAATAAATTTAAATGAGTTATAAAATAAAAAAATACGATTGCAGTAAGATGAGTTGAGCTTTGCTGCTGCACAAGTAGGTATTTATCTGTGTATGCTTGTCGATTTAAAAGTTGACATTCCAGTAAGTTTTTGTTTGATTCCAAGTTAGATATAAGGTTCATAGAAAGACATTGCTTTGATGAAATGCATTTTTTCATACAATGGTATTCATTATTTACCATGGATTTTTCAAACGAGATAACGTTTAAAAAAGTTGAGTTAAAACGTTTTGCACTAAAATAACTGCGTTGATGTATTTCAGGGAACATTATAGATTCTATTCGGCAAAAAACATTACTTGTGCATTCCGAAGAAAGTGTTTTATCAAGTGTTGCAATAAAAAGACAAAATCTAAACGTTTTTTAAATGAAAAGTGTAAATAGTTATTCATTTTTTAACTTAGCATTTAGTTGCATGCTACATAAATTGTAGTCTATTAAATAATTCATAACAAAGTTATGTTTAATCATTAAAAAATAACATAAAATTAGTTATATTAAAGTTTCATAAATGCATTAAGCGTAAAATGTATAAAAGTAATACGCATTTGTAAGCGTAAATTTGCTATATAATTACTTACCTCGTCTATCAGAGAGTCTAGTTTATCATACATGTCTTGTTTATCATACTTGTCTTGTATATTATACTTCTGTATTATACATATCTTGTTTATCATAGATGTCTTGTTTATCATACTTGTCTATCATACTGACTTTATACATGTCTTGTTTATTATACATTTCTTGCTTATCATACTTATCATGTTCATTATACTTGTCTTGTCTATTATATTTGTCTATCGTACTTATCTTGTCTATTATTACGTATCTTGTAATTATCTTGTTATCATACATGACTTGTGTATCATACTTGTCTTGTTTATTATATCATACTTTTCTGGTTTATTATACTTATACTCACGTTAGAATAGTAATTACTTTTTCTCACGTTTGTGATTACTCAACTCACGTTAGAACAATGATTACTTCAACTCACGTTAGAATAGTGATTACTTCAACTCACGTTAGAACATTTAGAACTCTTACTCATGTTAGAACAGTGATTACTTTCACTCACATTAGAACAGTAATTTCATTTACTCACGTTAGAACAGTGATTACTTTAACTCACGTTAGAACACTGATTAATTTCGCTCACGTTAAAACAATGATTACTCACGTTAGAGCAATGATTACACAAGTTAGAAAACGTTCAACTCATGTTAGAGCAGTGATTACTTTTACTGACATAAGAACAGTGATTTCTTTTACTCACGTTAGAACAATGATTTCTTTTACTCACATCAGAGCAGTAATTACTTTCACTCACATTAGAGCAGTTAGTTCTTTTACTCACGTTAGAACATTGATTACTTTTACTCACGTTAGAATAGTGATTACTTCAACTTACGTTAGAACAGTGATTACTTCAACTTACGTTAGAACAGTGATTACTTCAACTCACGATGATTACTTTTACTCACGTTAGAACAATGATTTCTTTTACTCACGTTAGAGCAGTGATTACTTTCACTTAGAGAGCCTATATACTCAGAGAGCGGACATACGGAAAATACGGAAGAACGGCGGCCATATTTTTGCCAAACTAGCGTATGACATTCACGAATTCAAGTAAAAACAATTGAAAGAAAATGAGCACAATAATATTTTAAACAGAAATATATTTCTAAAAATTAAACCTTTTTATGTTTTATTTTTTCAAAATTATTTTATTTTCGACAAAATTATTTATTTATTTAGGAAATACCTTTAAAAAAAAACACAGCAAAATAGTAGTTGTAACCAATAAGTAATTTGAAAAAAGCTTTACAGTTTATTTTATAAATTAGTTGAACCTAAACCTTTAGTGCCAATGCATGCATTGTCATACTCTTGCTGCCAAGTTCACAAGAACTTTTTTTAGTTTTCTTCTTTTTACATAATAAACGCTTTTTTTTAAGGCTAAATATTTTAAGTCTGAATGTTATAAACCTGTTTTTTAGCTTCAATTTAATTTGATGACAACTAGGATACAAAGTTAGACTTTTAATTTGTTCATCAGAATTGATTTTCTCTAAAAGCATAGTATTACAATTCTTTTGGGAATTAAGGTATGGCTCAAATGATCTGAATATTAACTCCATTTGTAAAAAGAATGCAAATGTTGTTTCATTAGCAAAAAATAAACTACCCACTTTGTGCTCTTTGTCTGTAACAAACTTTGTGTAATCAGCATTAACTCTATTTTTAGAAACTAGAGATTCAAAACAAATTGTGCAAACTTTTTCAAATTTTTTAACTCTAGAAATTATATAACCTGCAATATGAAACAAACAATTTTGCTCAGCATTACTTAAGATTAAGTTAGAGGTTTTATCCCAATCTTTAGGTAACAAAATGCACTCTCTTTGCTGTCGCTTATGCTCCTTACTATTAACTATATCAAGAAAACCAGATAAGAATTGACGGTCATCTATATCATAACTGCCTTTTGATGATTTTTTTAAGAATTGGGCAACACAAATAAGTTTCAAGTTATTTTTAAATTGAAGAGCAGTAGGAATTACTTGTTTTGCACGTACCAGGGAAAAAAGATTCTCCAGGCAATCCTGCGTAAATCGTGATGTCATTAGAAAATCAAACTTTTTTTCTAGAAGAAACTTATTTTGCAAGTTAATAACTGATGTTGTTGATAATATAACACCAGATTGAATAGGCTTCCACCTTATTTTTCCAGTTTGGCCTAATATTTTTAAACCATTGAATATCTCTATGACTTCATTTAAAAAAGTTATTGTTTCATTGTAAACTTTGTCATTTTTCATGCTAAGAGCCATACCTGGGTTTCGTGAAGTCATTAATGTAAACCATTTATCAACAATTCCTATAAACCAAGCAGTTGTGAGAATAGAATCATCTTTTATTTCACTTGCAATAAATTTTAATCCACAACTTACATCATGATTCATTACAGATGTTGCTCTTGATACTTTCATTTTGTTGAAATGTTTTTCATCAAGATGTTCAGATGTAAGCTTGTAAGCAAACTTCAAATCCATACCTTCTTGAAAGTCTACAAGCTTGTTAAGGTGTTTTGAATCTATAATTAGCGATTGAAGTTTATATTTTTCTTGAATCTTAGCTGTTATTATAAAATGTTTGTTACATAAAAGAGATGTTCTTATATTCTTTAATAAATGTGGTACGTCTGGTAAAAAATCAATTGTACGAGTAGGGTCACATGGGTGTTTAATTGAACTAGAAATACTGCCACTTTTAGTACAGCTAATATTAAAAGATTTCCACATTGCCTGGTTAATGGCACCCATATCAGAAGTAACACTATTAACTTTTAATCCTATTTCTTCGGTATACTTTATTATAGATAAGACAATGTTTTTTAAAACACCTCCATTAACAGAACTTCCAGTATAATAATATGCAACAGTTTGTTTTTATCTTGTAGATATTCCTCCAAGCATAAAAACTAAAGCATGATTAGCTTGGCCATAATGTTCAGGTAATGTAACAACTCCATAGTAAGAGCTTTTAGATGTGTCATAGTCAACACTTTCAGTTATTGACATTTCATCAAGAATTAAAATACATTCTTTTTCATGGATTTTCATGGCATTCACCTTAGTTTTCATAAACTCAAAGACTTCTGTTAGAATGCCACTTTGAAATTTTAGATTTTCTAATCTTCGTCGTAGGGTACGTAATGATGGGTATGGTAAGTTTAAACGAAGTAAATTTTCATAACCACTTTGACCACATGTAAATTTGAGTTCTAACGCTTCATTTATAGTATCATTTGACCATTTAATGAATTTCATATTTTTTCTACTTAAGGATAAAATTTGATCTTCTTTAAATATTGTTTTGAAAACTCTAAATTTATCTCTCTTTATATGATTATATTTTTGAATAGTATTTATTCTTGCTTTCGATTTTAAAATGTTAATTTTTTTTTTTTGATTAATGACTTTTTTTTCTAATCTCTCCAATTTCGCATTTAAATCTTGTATAAGTAAACTTTTATCAACCTCAGTTGTGCAAACTGATTCAGATACTTCATTGTTATTTACTTTAATTAAAACATTTTCCACAACTTCTCCTCTTTCTATAAAACTTATTTTCTTTTTTTTTGGTATTGGAAAACGCTCGAGTGGATTTTTTCGCTTATGTTTTGCTCTAACATGTTTAAAGACCGGAAGAATTGCATTATGTTTGAGTTTTCTTGATCCATCTTCTCTGGTTTTTTCCCATTGATCAGCATCAAAGTGTACCTTAATAAAAAAATTGAACGAATATAATATATTTGTATGGATTCTAAAATAACTCATTTCTAGGATTAATTACATAAAACTGTATTTTCTTATGCTTACTTCACATAAAAAGCTTGTGTTTGTAGGTATCCAGTTAAGTCGTTTAACTTTAGAAGTCCAAATCGCCCGTTGTTTTTCATTTCTTGGGAAGCATTTCATAATAAATCCTTTCTCAGGCCTGTTATGGCAGCCTACTGCAGCACAACCAGGCATACTTTTACAAATATTTAATACAAATTTAGTAGTAGACTTTAATCGCAGTTAGTATTTTTGGCAAAAAGATGGCGTCTAAAATCATAAAAATCGAACAACCAATCAAAAACGATCACACGTATGTCCGCTCTCTGAGTATATAGGCTCTCTACTTTCACTCACGTTAAAACAGCGATTTTTTTTACTTATGTTAGAACAGTGATTACTTCAACTCACGTTGATTACTTTAAATCACGTTAGAGCAATGATTACTTTCACTCACGTTAGAACAGTGATATTTTTTACTCACGTTAGAACAGTGATTACTTCAACTTACGTTAAAACAGTGATTACTTCAACTCACGTTAGAACAATTATTACTACAACTCACGTTAGAACACTGATTACTCTCACTCACGTTAAAACAGTGATTTCTTTTACTCACGTTAGAACAGTGACTACTTCAACTCACGTTAGAACAGTGGTTACTCTCACTCACGTTAGAACAATGATTTCCTTTACTCACGTTAAAACAATGATTACTTTTACTCGCGTTAGAGCAGTAATTACTTTCACTCACGTTAGAACAAAGATTACTTCAACTAACGTTGATTACTTTTACTCACGTTAGAACAGTGATTACTTTTACTGTAGTTTGTATTTAATTTGTTTTTATTTTTATTTGAAGCAAATAGTTTTTTATACTTGTAGATAACCTCATATAAAATGATGGGGTTTGTAAATCATTCACTATAGAAATAATTAATAAAACAATTAAAAATACATTTATAATAGCATAATATAAACCACCAAATGGTTAGTACAAGCAGTATACAAGCTAAAAAAAGCTGCATCCGTTATAGATAATATCATAAATTTATACGTCAAATAATACTTTAATACTTATCGCTAAAATTAGTTGCAGTTTTATAACTTTAGGATGTTATTTAAAAGGTTTCTATATATTCAATAAAAGTAGTAAAATTATTTTTATGTTTCCATAAATTTATTAAAAATTATCCAGCTTTGCTGTTCTACAGGATGTTTATCGACATTAGTAACATGAAGTTATGACCCTGTTTTACTGCTTTTACAAATTGAAATTGAATAGGAGATGCTCTAAGCTTGTATGGTATTAACAGTATATGTCAAATTTGAACATTTTATAGGAGAACCTTCTGCTTTCTAAAGTTTTTCAAATGACCTTTTGAAGTCAAATAATGACAGTGACGATAAATTTACATTTTTATAGTAAATTTTGCTACGTTTTGTTACTTTTGTTGTCCATTACACACGTGTAGTAAGATCGAATAACACATGACTTTAAGGAACGTCTTTAACTTTATGTTTTTAATTTAAGTAGTACCTTCAAATGCAAAAATTTGTTCCTTCTACGAACCCCGTTATTATAAACTCAATTTTATTTGCTGATAACACAAACTTATTTATTTCAAATAATAATAAAAACTAATTATTTAAAACAATTATCTTAGAATTATGAGACCTGGTTGCAAATAAATTCTTTCCATCACTTTTATGAAAGAACTAATATCAACAAATCAAAACGTATCGGCAATCGCATAAAAAAAAAAAAAAGAAAAAAAAAAAAAAAGAAAAAGAAAACGTAATGAAATTAATGTTCGTAAAAAGTACATATTTATAAAAATTTAAGTAGAACGGCATGCACTTAAAAATGTTTTAATTTATAAAAAACGACTTAAGATATTAATAATATTTAATTTTTTTTTTTTTTACATATTATCCTTTCTTTTTTTACTTATAGCACAAAATTTACCTTAAAAGAGTTTCAACATGCATTTCATGTATCTTAGTGCGCATTAAACAACTTTTTTTCTTTTATTATAGCCAAATTTTTTAGTCGCTTCAAAGTTCATCAAAAACTGAACTTTAAAATATTTCAAATGTCAATTCATTACAAAATGAATTTGTTCTATTGTAGTAAATTACTTAGAGTAGGTAATGTTTAATTTATTTGTGGTTATAAATGTAAATGTATTCGATGGCAAATGTACTTGATAATAATGTATGCTGATAAATCAATCAATTACAGATTCTTGCAAAAAAAAATTTTTTTCAGTAAAAAAACGTTGTCGGTGTTAAACAGAAGTCAAAAATAAGTCAAGATACCTTGTCCTATTTTTCACTTCTGTTTAACACCGACTACTATTTTTACAAAAAAAAAAAAAAAGATTAGCAAAAAAGTCTTTACTTTTATCTACTGTTTTATTTATTTCAGTCAAAAAAAAACTTTTTGTTCATCATTCATCGTCCTTACTCATCTAGTAGTTATGTTAGTTTTGTTACATAATATGAGTCGTAATAAAATTGATACATAAACATAAGTCGTAATAGAATTACGTAAATGGTACACTTCTGCGTACTAACAATATAAAGCTAGGTTTCCGAAAGAAGATCATAAGGATCTTATCATCAGAACCTTAAAAAGTAAAAATTTTTATTTATAACATATATATATATATATATATATATATATATATATATATATATATATATATATATATATATATATATATATATATATATATATATATATATATATATATATATATATATATATATATATATATATATATTGAAGATTGAACGCATTTACATTATGCAACTATAAAACATATTTTAATATATAATAAGCTGAAAATTTATCAAATGCATTTTACATTTTAGAAAATAAATAGACACTAAAATTAAAAAATATCTTTGCAATATATAAAAACATCTTTGCAACCAGGGCCGCCGAGAACCGTCACGCCACCTGGCACAGCAACCCTGATATACCCTTATTTATTAAAATTTCCCTAAACTATCGATGAAGGACCTTGTTTTTTTTTTTAGGTACCTTCTTTTTATTTGGCACCCCTTGGATATTATTTTATGCATATATAATGTACATTTATCTAATTAAAGTTGAAATTAAATGATATTGCATTGGCATAAGCACGTTCAATTGGAGTAATATTAATTTAAATAAAAAATTAGAATTGAAAAATATCTGTCTATGACACTCCTTAAGTAACTTTTCATTTCACAATAAAATTAAACAACTTTCACGAAGCAGTTGAAAAACTTACGAGTTACAATACTTTATTTACCATTTATATATGATACAACCTGATTTTTCAAAGATTGCAAACATATTTTACATTACATTTGAAAATATGGTACATTATATTTTACATTATTATGAGTTAAATTACGTAGAACAATTAAGAATGGCTTATAACAACGTAAAAGGGAGAGAGCGGACGGCTTTGAACATTTTTTAAACTTTTTATTATAAAACAATTTCTTTTTTAATTTTTACAACTATTTTTTTCTGAACAGTTATAATAATTGTTAAGGGAATAAATTGAGGAAAAAGAAAAGGAAATAAGTTGTAAATAAATTCAGAAATATAGCAAGGTACACAAAAATGTTTAAATCTGCACCAATCTAGGGTAACAAATTTGCATAGTGCAGTTTTGAAATATTACCGTTAAACAAAATTAACTCAGATTTATGAATATTTTTTTGATAACTAGATATATTTTTAGAACATATTTATTCTGTTTATCTATATATTTTCATAGGTACATATTATACCTGTTTTAGCACTTTAATATTTGATATTAATTTTTCTAGTTAATTTTTTAGCTACTGACACAATAGCGCAAATGTTAGCGCTTTGACGGCTTTTTATTGAGGTCACGTTTTCACTCTACTTTTAGTTTTTTATCCTTATGACATTCGTTCTCTGAACTTTTTTTATGGTTTAAAATTTATAATTAGGAGTGGTGCCTAAATACTGTTATTCAATTTAAACAATTAAATTCCTTTCCCTCTATTTAAAAGAAATTGCTTTGTTTGCCTGCGTGCGCTAGAAGCCCTAATTTTGAAATGTACTTAAAAAGTGTTTACATTTGGTTGAAGTGGGACGGAAAAAATAAATATTTATGCCCCGCTTCTTCTCGTTACCATTTGATTATTTCGGTTGGTGAAAGCTCTTGAACATTTTTATGTCAATTAGGTGGTTTTATGATTTTATCAGTTTCAAATTATTATTTAATAATTTGTGTTAAAATGTTGTTTTGAATTTATTTATCCCACTTCTACTTACACTTGTCCCATTTTACCCTAATTGCATGGTTTCTATAAAAGCAAAAGTGTCTATACTTAGTTATAATTGGCAGTTTATACATCAAATAAAAATTTCCCTAAAATATATATATATATATATATATATATATATATATATATATATATATATATATATATATATATATATATATATATATATATATATATATATATATATATATATATATATATATATATATATATATATATATATATATATATATATATATATATATATATATAGATATAGATATAGAAGGTAAAGATGATACGTTTATCATACAACCTTTTCATAGATCCCCTTTATTCACTCATTAAAAAAACACTTTAATTTTTATAGTAAGATAAAATTTCAATAAAACAAAGCTCGTATTTTTTTTTTAGTGTAAAAAATTGAAAACAAAAAATATAAAACAACATAAAATTACATAGAACAACTCAAAATTATATAAAACAATATAAATTTACATAAAATTATAAAGAACTACATAAAATTACATAATACAGTATAAAACTACATAAAAAAACATAGAACTACATAGAGCACCATAAAATTACATAAAACAACATAACAACATAAAATTACATAGAACAACATAAAATTATATAAAACAATATAAAGTTACATAGAATTATAAAGAACTACATAAAATTACATAAAACAGTATAAAACTACATAAGAAAACATAGAATTACATAGAGCAACATAAAATTACATAAAACAACATAACAACATAAAATTACATAGAACAATATAAAATTATAAAGAAAACATAAAGTTAAATAAAATTATTAAGAACAACAAAACATATTATACAAAAAATATAACATTACAAAGAAAAACATCGAATTACATTGGGGAAGATAAAATTACATATAACAACATAAAATTACATAAAGCAACATAAAATTATATAGAACAACATAAAGATACATAAAACATATAGAATTACATAAAACATCTTAAAGTTACATGAAACAACATAAAGTGGATTGAACAATATAAAATTTAGTAGAACAAACAAAGTTTAATAGGTAAAAAACAGTTCTGTTTTTTTTTTAATAAATAAAAGACAAAAGCAAAAAAAAAAAAAAAAAACATTAAATGAACAATCATTCTTTTTAAAGATTAAATTAATATTTTTTTCTAGAGAGTGCACTTTTTAATTTTGATCTAATTTGATTAATAAAAAAAAAAAAAAAAGGAGGATGGGGGGATGATTTAAGCATGCCAGGCGAATCTAACCTTATGGAACTGAAAAATATTGCTAAACCAAACTGCCATTAAAAAGTTGCATATGCGAGGCAGTTGTTATGCAAGTTTGTTAATAGTTTGTTAAAACAAGCAGGGGCGCCAAGAGAGAGGAAGGAAGGAGGGGGGAGTAAAAGAGACCCCATTTTTTATGGGCGGTAGATGTCTAAGGGATGTTTTAATTTTTTATTTAAGTATTGGTCCACTTGTTCGCAGTTTTAAGAATTTCAATTTCAAAAAAAAATAATTTCTTAAGCTTCTCTAATCAACAAGTATTTGTTATTACAAGTGACTTATCATTGACTAGGGACAAGTTTTACACCTAATAAAACTTTTTAGTTCTGTATTATTACTGATGTTAAACTTTTTATTAGGTATAAAAACAGTTAGATTGTCATTCAGTTTACGTTCCGGTGATTTTCATTTTTTTCTGTAACAAAAAGTATTTTTATAGCCACTTGAGCATTTTATAGCATTTCCCAGTTTTGTAATGACTGTTGTACTTACAAATGACTGTTGTACTAATAAAATAAGGAATTGGAGCATTGTAATTTTTAATAACAAAAGTCTTACTGTAAGTTGATCTGTAAGCTAAACAAGGTCAACAAATAAGCTTAGTAAACTTGAATAAAAATCATGTTGGTTTAGTTTCAAAAAAATTATGGGCGATCTTTGACATCGGGTTTGGGCTGACAATTTTACTTTATCTTTTGTATTTACCATTGCATTTGTATAGTCTATTTGTAGAATAAATTTCCAATCAGCATGCGTTGTCCGGGGGACATCCATTAAATGTCTTACAGACGTCAGAACATCCAAGAGACATCCGATGGACGTCCCCCTGGACGTCCATCGGATGTCTCTTGGATGTTTTTATCCCCATGTTTTTATCGGATGTTTTTATCGGATGTTTTTATCCCCATGTTTACATGGTTCAATATTTTTCAAGTAAAATAATGGAATACTTTATCAGTAAAACCTGGGTGTCCAATAATACTACTGATTCTTTTATAAGTGTCCAGAATAAACTAAGTGTTATGATACTGTTTGATACATTCATGTGCTTTTACTAAAAATAAATGCAAGTTAATCCGAAAGGTGAAAACATTAAAGGATATTTGATATTTTTTTTGAATTAAATTATTAATATTAAATTTGCACAAAAAGAAGTAAAATTTCTTAATTGGTGACATGAGTTGTATAGTATCAAGAAAATTGTTAAAAAATGTTATTATGACTTAAAAAATCCTCTAATAAATAGACTAACAAGGGTAAATGCGACATCAAACACGCTAAAAGGCAATATTATTATCAGAAATACATTCTATAAAATGGTTAAAAAAGAAATAATTTAAAGTGACACATCTGACCATTTCCTTTTTTCTTCTATAAATAATAATCATGAGTCAATAAAAACAATAAAACAGGTAATCATCAATTGCTTAATTAACGATAAACAAGTGTTTCAATATTTAAGGACAATTAGCCTTTATTAACTGGAACCATATTTTAATAGAAGCA